TATATCAGGCTATCCTTCTCAATATGCGAATGAACCTTCATGTACTTACGGTCGTACCGTAAAAGGACCGGCTGGTGACATACTGTCAGCGTTGCTTATTTTCTTGTTTATTTACTCCTGGAAGAAAAGCACAAACATGTCACGCCACAAGTACAAGGAACGGGTAAAACGTTTTTCAAATCTAAGAAAGTCCGTTCATAGAATTATCATAATTCTGATATTACAGGATGTAGTGAAACAGATTGAATGAAAATGAAGTTTCACATCTGGTATATTTAGTAGTAAGGAAATCCATTACCCTGTCCTGTATTACTGATAGAACTTAAAACAGTAAAAAAAATCAACCGTCAAATATATCCATGTTAATAACGACGCTTATAATCCTATAAGCTTATTTTAAAGCCAAACTGAAATCGTAACAAAGAGGAATTCAGAATATTATGGTAGCTTCAATTAAAAGTAATACAATATTAGTTATAAACAACAAAATATTCTGTTTATAACTAAAGACCTTATGCAATTATGTCCATCTTGAATTAGTATGGTCAAGCAAACCTCGCAACGTCAAGCGAAACAATAAAATGAAATTCTGACTTCGAGTATTTTACATCTCAACAACAACAACAACAACAACAACAACAACAACAACAACAACAACAACAACAACAAAAACAACAGCAACAACAACAGCAGCATCATCAACAACAACAACAACAACAACCACAACAACAACAAAAACAACAACAGCAGCAGCATCAACAAAAACAACAACAACAACAGCAGCATCAACAACAACAACAACAACAACAACAACAACAACAACAACAGCATCAACAACAACAACAAGACAAAAGGGTCTGAATTACCATTCAAATATAACACGAGATCAAGATATTAGTGAAACAATGATTTACACGAAGACGTCACGACACGTAAGATGAAAAAATGAGACCACATGTTCTGGAAGGGTATGCGTCTGCAGCTTGTTCGACGACATCTGTCGAAGTACGCATGTCACGTTCTCAAAGTGGAAGAAGTGAACGAAACAACAAGCCAAACTGACGGACATTGGACTATTCTGTCTTCATGTTCACAATAAAATAAAACAGTCCTCAGTTCGATCACCATGTTATTAGAGACATACGACGACCATAATCAATCAATTAGATGCGTTAAATTATTATTTCGGGTCCAATTAACCATTCTTACAATAATGTATGCTTAAGCATACGCTCGAAACAGCGATTACTAGATTATTACCGCATTTTGTCATTTTTATTGATTAGAATGTGTTGGTGTAAATAGAAAAGATATTACGTATTAACTAAAATCCGACCGCTTCAGTGGGGCTGGGGCGGGGGTGAGGGGGGAGCTTCGTTCCCCAGATCCCCCACCATGGCTTCGCCCCTTGGACTCTCTATTGAAAGCATACACTCCTAAAAACATTTGCTGCGCCACTGACCATGATATTATCGCTGATGCCGAATAAAAAATAACCAAATGCATAAACAGTGATAAACATTTGTATCAGATCTGTCAGAAATATTACTAGTGTTATCTTCTCCGTGTATAACTAACGCCACAGTTCAACATTCAGGAAATTGAGTGCTATAAATAGATGTTCTAGAAGACATTTACTGTAATCTATTTAAATATATGCACATACGTAATCAAAGGACGTGTAACTATATATTTGTGGTTTTAAGTGTTTTGATGTAATAAAGTTCATTGTTTAAATCAGAACATTGTAAACATTTCCATTGTCCTGCAATTATTATCATTGTGGTTTTAAATGCAGATCATGATGACGTTTAAAACACTTTATATGTCATAATGTTTAATTGTTAAAGTTGTTTTAATGCATTAAATATCTTACATAGCATATTAATGTCAAATAAACCACATAGTAAAGATGGCACATAAATTTTAGTACGGACCCGCCTCCATGAAATACGGGCTTCTGGCTCGTGATTTCTTAAATGAAACATATCTACATATCGCCATGACATACACTTAAACAACAGACTAAGACGAAAAAAGAATTAAACTTTTTCGTCTTTTTTTATGACACATCATTGATGCTAGGGAGCGAAATTGTTGAATGATGATAAACGACTTGAGAATATTGGTCAAAATATATATAAAAAAAAAAACAACCTAAATTACACTAAATTTATAAATTTCAATGTCAAATGTTTCCAAAATAGCGCCAAGTATATGGGTTTTTCATAGCAGTGCCAGGGTTCGAATGAATTAGAAGGCGCCACGTGCGTTACCGCAAACGACGGAATCTGAAACGGCAGTGCCTACCACCTACAATCTCGAAAAGACAAAAAGTAAAAAGCTTCTTTAAATACCAGTTAAGAAGATTTCTCTTTTAAATGTGAATTGCTATTATTTCCTGTAGTTTTTCCTATGTGAATTTTGTTGTGGCAGACGTCGGCTGTTTCTAAAATGTAGAAGATTTACGTCAACTAAATGTGTGCCTTTAAGTTATAAGTGGAAAGTTAATCTACCAAGTGTACTTTTAATATCTTCGGGATGCTATTTTTAAAATGTTTTATTCATTACTCAATAGCTGATGGTCTGTTACGTTCTTTTTATAACAGTTAGGAAGATAAACAGATAGTTCCCGATGGGGTTTAAACACCCACTCCACATAAAATCACAAGGGACTTATTCATAAGCATCAACTACATACACAGCACAGGTAAGTATACTTCATGTTTATTAAGGAAAAAAACATCGTATATCAATCAAATTGTGAGATAGGGCTTAATATCGATTATTAATGTATTTTAAACTACTGACTAGATACCATGACATTGGTGAAGACAGCTGAAATATGATATCACAAAGCCGGTACGTATGGCTAGGATCAAACGTAATAAATTCAGGTTCTCATTTTACACTGTAATGTGTACATTATAACGTTTACGTTTTTCTGCGCACCTGTAAGTTCTGACACAGGAAGATACTTATACTCATAATATAGATTTAAGGATGCACAAAAATTTGATATATATATATACCCATAAAATTATGACTTTTATTAATTAAAAATAGTTAAATATAAGCTGGCAAAATTTTTAGATGTACTTTTGCAAATCGGAAAAAGCAATGATAATCATTTCAATGATGATATGTGCTCGACTTTTGATGACAAAACAACCCATTACGTGGAAGTCATTACGATAGCTGTAGTTACGTCGTCACATCAATCATAGTCACCACCCACGCCTGGTTATCTAGTATAACATGGTTCCTTTTACAGAAATGACTATTCGCCGAACTCTATACAAGTACAGAGCTATGATCTTAACAATATTAGGACTTTACTTTCTTACACTGACCTCAGAGGGTCAAAGAGGCTCGACATCTATTGAAACATCACAGAATTCTTCGACACCTTCAGATGCACAGACCGCGTCGTCTTTTCAATACGCATGGGTGACCCAGACTGATGTACACGTTACAAAACCGACTAACGAATCCAGCATCGAGGTTGCTGCCACATCGGCCGTAAAAAACACTGTTTTTAATCAGGTTGGTGACTTTGGCTTAAAGCCTCTTGCCCAAAAAGTTTGAATTTGTAGAATTTTGTAAAAACGTTATCGATTGGTGTTTCTCTATTTCAATAGATTTTGCACGATTCCATTTTCCGATATTATAACCAGATTTTATTGAAGTTTATGTATTAGATACAGAGCGATTAATATTGAAATAAATACAACTAAACCAGGAAAAGGGTGTTTTTTCCTCAGAGAGATATTGATATGAACTGCATTTCGTCGATCTGAATATAACTTTCATTCGCATCGTCCTGAAACTCTCTTGAGATTATACTTCTGTTTATCAATATACTTTATTTTATAAAGATTTCACGCAGATTGTAAAAACTTCAAACGAAATTAGCTGAAGAATAAGAAGTGTGAATTTTAGACATATATTTCAAATAGTAATTGAACATTGAACTATAAGTATTTATTCATTCCAGAGTATCATTTAAACATTTATGTATGAAACAGGGATTCTGATTAGTGTTTGTGTTGCATAATTTTGTTACAGGAATTCTTATTGGAGTTTGTGGTGCATAAGTTGTTACAAAAATTCTGATTGGTGTTTCTGTTGTGTAACATTCTCAAAGGAATTCTGATTGATGTTTATGATGCATAAGTTTGTAACAATAAATCTGCTGTGTAAATTTCCGGAATAGGTTCTTATTTGCACTTCGCTCTTGCAAAGTTGCTTTTGATTGGTGTTTCGAAAGTGTAAATCTGTAACAAGATTCCTGATTGGAGGTGTGTAAACTTGTTACAGGGATCGCGATTGCTGTATCTACTTGTCAGATATATGCCCGTTGAGATATTTACTCGCATTGCTAACACTATCACTGTTGGAATATTTAATTCTGACGAATTCCCGAGTGATTTTCCGGAGTACAGACCAGTCAGTCTAGAGTGTAAATGTAAGTATCGTTGTCTTGATGCCATCAAAAAGTCCTGGCTAAAATAAAAATTGGCCTTCACGGGCAAAAATCTTTGTCATAACTTGACTGATTTCTGGGTACAAATGTTAAAAAAAAGAAAGAGAGAGAGAGAAAGAGAGAGCGAGAGCGGAGAACAGATCTTGTCATTTCTTAAATGGTTTATATGTTTAAGATGCTAAATTTCATGCTAAATTATATTTGCATATTTTCCCTCAGCTACAATGTATAGACAATTCCACACCTAAACCTACACAATATTGAGCCTCTAGTTCGAAAATATTTCACGGTATGCGGTAATGTTCTGTTAGCTATGGCTATTGGTATCATTTCTCAAAACAATATTTATTAACATTTTCATCATGTAGACACATGCCCTGATCATTGCTCATCATTCTGCGAGGACGGATTTCCCATTGCAATGAAGTGGTCACACCCAGGACGACGAATGGTCGTTACAGCCGGTAATCTTCTCTGTGGTCAGGATGGACAGTTCGACCCCGAGTTCGGAAAGATGAATCTACTGGTCCACGAGTTGGCTGAATCACTTTTAAAATACGTTCTTCCAGTGGATATTGTTGACAATGTAGGTATTATAAAACATTAATATGAATCTTTTAATCCGTCTTATTAATTTGTAGATTTATAGACCTATCCAAAAAGGATTCCACAGTATTAAATCAATAAAACACCATAGATAATATATGAACACAATCATAAGATAAAACTGATTTTGGTACAAAGGGAAACAACTCTATCACATACTGTTAATAACGCTGAGTGGATGTATTCCAAATAAAAGTTCCATAAAGAAGGCTATGATATAACGTGTTAATACATTCAGTAAAGACTGCGGTTGGTTTGTTACGATTTATTTCATTTTCAATAAAAGTATTAAACATTGTGCGGTATGGTTACGTCATTGAATACTTTTCCTGCTTCTCACTTGAGAACATTGATTTACTTGAATTTACGTTGCGGATGTCGTCGCAGAAGCATCTGAAACACCCATGTTTGTCCTTCTTGTACCCTTTATAAGCCTTCTGAACTCCTTTCTCATCCATGCGTGTCCTTCTTGGTACTTTTTCTAAGCCTTCTGGTACTCCTTTCTCATCCATGCGTGTCCTTTTTGGTACTTTTTCTAAGCCTTCTGGTACTCCTTTCTCATCCATGTGTGTCCTTCTTGGTACTTTTCTTAACCTTCCTGTTCTTCCTTTTCTTCCATAATTGTCCTACTTGTTCTTTTTTTAAGCCTTCTGGTACTTTTTTCTCTTCCATGCTTGTCCTTCTTGTTCTTTTTCTAAGCATTCTTGTTCTTCTTTTTCTTACATGCTTGTCTTACTTGCTCTTTTTCGAAGTCTTCTTGTACTTTCAATCGTTCATATTAACGATTTTGTGTTTGAATCATGATTTTGTTAAATAACGTTATTCTCTTGTTATATTATCATTATTATTTATAGATGGTTGTTGTAAAGAGTAAAGACTTCAGAATATATTTATGTTCTCACAGCAGTTTATGTCAGTTGGATACTGTTCCAACAGATGAAGGGAACACGCCACTGTGATTTTGGCTGCTGAATACCGAATCCGTCAAAACATTCTGATTAATGATCTAAAAGGGCTGCTCATGAATTATTGTCAAAGTGAAACTGCGGAGAAGAGGAAAAGCCTTGATAGAGAGGTTTAAGATAATACGTTGGGGTGGTCAAGTCAATTGTGCTTTCTCTGCACACAATAGGAAACATTGTATATTGAAGAGGCCTCATATCTGACGCCTTATATTGAGAATACAAAGCATAAAAAAATATATAAAAGACTACACTAAAATGTTTTAAGGGGAATGTCAAAATAACATATTTAGGCTATATAGTAAATTAAGTGATATTCAAAGGTTTAGTGCCATCGTATTTAGAAGGCATATTCTAGACCAAGAAGGTTTGGATCAGGTTTCAGCATACTTCAGCTCATTCAATTTTGTTTTCAACCAGATAATTGCCGCATACAACTCTTCACTGAAAACATGGGATCTGCATCCTCCAAATTACACGACGTATTTCCGGCAGGGAACGGCGACGTGGTTTCAAGCAACAAGCAAGTCTGTCTACGAGACTGGTAAGCTATATGTTTTCTAGTGTCACGAACTTATCAATTTATAAATTTCCTAGGGTTGTGAAATTATCAAGTTATAACTTTTCTACTGTTTTGAATTGATCAAGCGGTTGAGAGATTTGTATTATTAGGAATATATAATTTTGATTATGAAAAAAGCGTGCCTGAAAAGTGTTTAAACTATAATGATTTGTTGTTATAAATTTGTATCAGCACATGTACTTCACAGTTAATTACTAATCAGTAGCATTTACTGATTCTAACTGAAAATGATTTTGTCTGATTTTCTAAAGTGCACATCGATAAGATGAACTATCGATTTTTTGGTCATCAACAACGACAACGATATAAATACAAATAATTCTAAAACCTTATGTGAAAACATTCACAATATTTTCAATATTGCATTAAAAGAATACATATTATTTAGAATTTATTCTTCTTATATCAATAAACGTGGACCCCTGTTTAATCTTTGTTTTGTCGAAAACATATGTTGTTTGTAGACGTTAATGCGTCCCAAATAGAAACGTATATATATATTTCAATACTGTTACTCAGAGTTATAACCAGATTAAAATGTTTTGTTCAGATATATAATATTTCACAATGTGGAACTTGACTATTGTTCTCAGCTGTTTCATACTTTGAAAAAGAACGATTATGATTCCGGATGTATTTCAGCGTTAACGAACACTGTAGTCTTATTGCGAGGAAACTTTTACACTACTATATCAACCCACGTTTTAATATTTAAATTTTAATAATTAATTGTAGATTGCAATGCAAACTTTATGGAAAGCATATTTTAGTATTTATCGTATAGCTTTTATGATTGATAAGTTTTAGAGAGTGTGAAAATTTAAAGATGGCAAATTTTCAAAATGGTTATAGGCCACGTTTTAAGTTAACAACAGAACGGATTTCTTTGATGTTACTTTTGTCTTTTGAAAAGTAGTATATTAAGCAACTATATAATCAAATTTGATTGGACAAAACAACCTGAATTATTTTTAAAATACGGTTATTTTCGAAGTATTTCATTTTCATTGACAGGTGGTATGAACATATGCAGCAATGCCAGGCCCTGTATAACGGAGATAGATATGAGACGTAATATAATGAACAGGGACATCCCACTCTTTAATATTCTTAATTCTATATACAACAACGGACATTGGAACATAACGGGGAATATTTCTGTGTGTACTTGGTGACATGGAAAATGCCTCTTAACGTGCCTGGTGAAAATGAAATTTCTCAAAAAGTTCTTGTTGACAGGAAATATACTTGGTGACTGGATATTACACCAGTATGTACCTGGTGAAAACATAAACATCTCCAGGCATGGCTTGTTAGAAGAAATACTTTCTATACGTATGAGAACGAATCATCTCTATATACATGTACAAAAACAAGACATTGAGAATATATGGTCAGAGTATTAAAACATAAGCTATATTTTGGCGATGGTGAAGAAAGACAAAAGTGGCAAGCCTCTGGCCACAATACAGCTTATATTTTAAGAGACTGATCATGAATTCTATTTATACTGCAATATTGACTGCAAATCAGACCATCAAAGCTTCATAAGGCTTTTGTTCAATCTTTGTTTAGCTAATGTTGAACTGCTTTTGCCTGGTGACGTACGCCAAAATAATTGTTCCGCGCAGAAAAATAGTTCCAAACTTCATGGGATATGTCAGCAATTTTATGAATTTTCGTGAATAAACCAATACATCACAGCATACAAAATCACTTATTTCAATACTTGTTTATATTGTTAAACGTAATTTTAAAGTAAGTTCCGGGATTAATTGCGCCTATTCACGCACGTGTTATAATTCAGCTATTTTAAATCACTGCCGATAATAGCAAAACTATATGTTGCAGGTGTATTCCGACAGTGGCTGTGCCAGTTGCAGGATAAAAGGATATATATGTGCACTCAATACAAAAATAACATCTTTGGACGTGTATCTATATATATGTATGTGCCATGAGGGAAATGTCTCTTGACCATATGATTGTGGAATTTTTCTTTATCCCTAGTTTATGTACAAGCACGGAATAAACATGTATGCATAACCAGGCAAGAGAAATATTTCTGGTGAGAAGGAAATATATCTGTATATATTTGATGGGAGGGGAATATTCTGTATATGTTTGGTAAGAGGAAAATATTTCTGTATATGTTTGGTAAGAGGGAAATATATCTGTATATATTTGATGGGAGGGAAATATATCTACATATTTGATGAGAGGGAATATATCTGTATATATTTGATGGGAGGGAAATATATCTATACATTTGATGGGAGGGTAATATATCTATATATTTGATGGGAGGGGAATCTTCTGTATATGTTTGGTAAGAGGGGAATATTCTGTATATGTTTGGTAAGAGGGAAACATTTATGTATATATTTGGTAAGAGGGAAATATTTCTGAATATGGTTGGCAAGAGGCAAATATTTCTGTATATGTTTGTGACGAGGGAAATATATTTGTATATGTTTGGTAAGATGGAAATATTTCTGAATATGGTTGGCTGGAGGCAAATATTTCTGTATATGTTTGGTAAGAGGGAAATATTTCTGAATATGTTTGGTAAGAGGCAAATATTTCTGTATATGTTTGTGATGAGGGAAATATTTCTGTATATGTTTGAAACATTTCTGTATATGTTTGTGAAAGAGAAATATTTCTGTATGTTTGGTGAGAGGGAAATATATCTGTATATGTTTGATGGGAGGGAAATATATCTGTATATGTTTGGTAAGAGGCAAATATTTCTGTATATGTTTGATATGAGGGAAATATTTCTGAATATGGTTGGCGGGAGGCAAATATTTCTGTATATGTTGGTAAGAGGGAAACATTTCTGTATATGTTTCGTGAAAGGGAAATATTTCTGAATATGGTTGGCAAGAGGCAAATATTTCAGTATATGTTTGGTAAGAGGGGAATATTTCTGAATTTGTCTAATCAGAGGCAGCATCTTTGTACTAAATAAAAAGGGAATTTCTACATGTGTTGCTCTCGAAGGAAAATGTATCCCAAATGTAATTGTGAAACGGTAATATCGATATTTACCTGGTAAGAACGATTAAACTCAGTGTGTAATTAGTGAGTCGAAGATTATCTCTAAATGTACCTTACTAGAAAAGACATCTGACGACCTGTAGCTGGTGGAGAAATGTATCTCTCAATGTTCGTTGTGAGAAGATATGTAATAATATAACTGTATATTGACTTTCATATGGATGGTTTTTTTTTATCTTAGACGTTATCCTTGAGATCCAGATTTACCTAGAATATAAAGGTAAATGTTACCTTGATGTTACATCTATAGTCTATATAAATGCCATTTGATGTTTAGTACATATGTTAAACATATGTGTTTTACTATATTTGGACAATACAAACATTATCATTTTTTTTATTAAATGTAGTTGTTAAATTGTTTTATGTTATATACTCTAAGAATATTAACTGATAATATTTCTCAGACTAGTATCAGCAAGTGTCATTACTGTATGCATGTTTGGTGAAGTTTCAAACGAATTGAAATACTACTGTTAATGATAAGAGGTCTAACGGCCTTAACGCCTTCAGTTAAAATGTTGTCGATGTTCTTGAAACATGGAAATACATCATAGAAATAATCTTATAATCCGAGTTAGAAAACTTGAAATTCATCGTTCATATAATTCAAATGTAAACTGTGTACAACATCGACTGTCATTCCCATTGTTAAGGGTTTTTATTACGTTTATATTGAAATAAATCAAGCTTAGAATGTTATTTTCCTGCTAAGCTGTATATAAGATAGTATCCCCTCCACAGGGGCGATACGGTCAAAACAAAATTTTGGTAGAGCAACTGAAGGTCATTCTACCCATAAAGAACATTAGATTCTGCCATATCACGGGGTCGAGAATAAGATTAGTGAAATTTGAGTCAATTTCACCTCTTTTGACCCCCACCTTTCAGGCCCCGTTGGATTGGGGGACAATATAACTTACAATTTCGTTTCATCTGTGGCCATGGAGGTTTCTTCAAAATTACATTGAAATAGGTTTAAGGTTGTTTAGAAGCAGTCGAAAATGTTAAAAGGTTACGACACACTATACTGGACAAAAGACAATCGAAAAAGGTCACCATGAGACTTTGTTTTATATGGCCAAAAAAGTTATATAGATTTTCGTAAAAGAAATAGATACTTGTTGTTGTTCTCAAGTTCTTCCCTATCGTTTGGGTTTATGTTGTTTAATGTTCTATTAATATCTATGGCCATTTAAAGTCGTTTTTTTATTTATACGAGATGAGTGCATGTGTAGATGTTTGAGTAAGACTCTCTAAGACAGTGCAGACCTGAGGTCCTTATGAAAAGAAAAAAAGTCTTGGTTTCCTTTTATAATTTACTACAACATGCCTTTTGATGGTTGAGCAAACATCTTATGAAGAAGACCTCGGCTATAAGTTATGTGAGGTTTCCTCAAATTTCAATAAAAAAGGAATGCTGTAATTGGTATTTCGATAATTTTATTATTTGAGAAATTTATGACAATTGCATGTATCAAAATACAAAGAAAATGCTTGCACACAAAAATACTTCGATTGTGGTATTTGTGTATTACACGATACCGTTATCAATTTCGATAGTTAAAAACCTAATATCACAGATGACTATATCACATACAATCCACGCATTCATATATCCAAGATAATGATCGTTCTATGTTTGGTTCGGTATTTATTGAATATCATACGCTTTTAAACGTGGGTAACCACTACGATCATTAACGCGATTTGGCAATCACGATTTCAAAGTTGTAAATAAAAACGAGTCAATCATGGGAAACCTGTGTGCAGTACCTGGTACATACTCCATCAAAAGAATACAATATGTACTAAATATTCAATACAAAAAACTGAATAAGACCCATTTGCATAAAGAACAATAAATACTTCACTAGTCAACAATTACTAAAGAATAATGAAGTCTTAGTAGTTCCTTTGATTGTGATATTTGTTGTTAAAGAACAGTCTGCAAATAGGTAAAAAAAATTGTAAATAAATAAACCAAGATTTTAATTTGACATAATGCTGTTGGGAGACATCAAAGAAAAATGTGTTTGAGTTATCCCCCTTAACATATTCTTCTATAAAACGTACAACAACTTATATGATAAATAACCATACAATACATAATGATTTATTTTTAAATAATATTTGTCCTTTTTACTTTTTTGAGTTCATACCCCCTTCATTGCTGATAGGGTAGTATGTCCTTTTTATATCTAACTTACACACAGAATCACTTGCTCGAAGGTTGGCACAATCAATGGGACGAGAAAGGTATCATAAACACATCTCTTGTTGAACTCCATTAACCTTGTCATTAAGTTAAATCATTTGTTGATTTGCTTTTATTCATGAGTTTTCACTGAGATGCATATTTGATTATCACTTATGTTTTAGTGTTTTTCCTTCAAAAAGTATATTCACATGAAAGTGTTGCTGTCGAATCCAAATTTTTGTATCATACATTGAGACGATGGTATGTGGTTCCATGGAAGAAAAATGGGATCCCTCTTATCTCGACGTAACTGGATAAATATGTACTATCCTTGAATACGTATTACAAAGAAATGAATAGTCCCCCCTCCAAAGTACTTCTTAAAGGAACAGTTATCAAAGATATCGTTTATGATATCAAAAACTCTTGCTTGAAGGCATCTTAATTTTTCTCATAACCGGCTGCCTGTTAATTTAATTTTCAATCACCGTTTCACAACTTAAAGAACATGGTAGTTATTGTCTCTCCTGTTGTGTGTGGGTGGTTTTATAAATTAGCTTTCAATCACTTTATAATTTATATCCTGGCCTGGTCCACCCTCATTACTCCGAGGCTACATCGATCCATACGATCTAAAACCTAATTTTCGTTGATGGTCCTAAAGATTTTTCGAACTTGGATTTTCCTTGGTTAGACATACTTTTGAGATCGCCGAATCCCATTGGCAATTGTGCGTATTGATTTTTTCTATTTCCAAACTTGACAGGTGCCGTTGTCAGACCGTCGGGTAGGGGTGCCATGCCGATATCATTATTTCCCTTGTTCCATGCCCCTAATGGTTTCGGTCTAAAGCTGTTTTTTCTAGGTGTATAGCTACGTGAAGCACCTGCATCTGCTGAATTGAAAATCTGCGGTTTCAAGGGTGGTAGCATGGATTCTTTATGCGGTTTCCCATTGTGATCCAAAGACGATGTAACATGTCTACGCCTATCCTCAGCTAATTCCAGATCGTCTATACCCGCAGTGCTTGATATGGAACTCGTTGACCGTGGAGACCTCGAATTACCTCCATTGAACTCGACTGACAATCTTGTCTTTGGTTCCCCAGACAGTGACATGGTTTTCATCTTCAGTTCTCTCTCCTTTTCCAGATCGCTGATCTTTCCTCTCATCTTAGACATTTCATTTTCGTACATCTTGAGTCTAGTATCCTTCACTCTAGATTCCTTCTTTACATCCTGTAGTTGATTTCTCATGACATTCATAATGGCTGCTTGCCAAACATTTGCGCCTAGCTGAAATTTGTTGTTTGACTCAACCTTTTCTTTATTCATATCTAGAATCTTTTCTTTCTGTTCCTCTACAAGCCGTTGAAAGTTCAGCATTTTGTTTTCCAGTTCTTGCATTGTGGAGTCATTCGCTGCGACGAAATCTCGATATGCGTCCTTTAATGTAGGATTTGTTGCGGGATCTGTATGTCCCATATGCGCTAAAACGTAATCTTTTTCCTCTAAAAGTTCGTTGTACTTTCTACGAATCAGTAACAAATCCTGATAAGACTCCATCACAATATCCATATCTTCAACTACGAAGGAAAACTCGTACTTCTGCAATTCCATTTCGTCCTTTTCATTTTGGGGACGTTGTCGTCTCGTTATTAGTTTGGATATTTTATCATTTACTCCCCTAAGGGTTTTCTCCGCCAACTCTAGTCGTTTGCTCGTTCGTTGTAAAACTGACTCATTTACCTCGGTATACCTTAACTGTTTTCCTAAATCACTCATCCTTTTTGCCTCCAAATCCTTGAGTTCTTGTTTCATGATGTTGATTTGGGACCTCAGCACTGCAGCATTTTCTTTCTCGTCTTTTAACTCGTGCTCCAGTTGATTGGCGGTTTCTTTTGTTTTCTTTTGTGCAATTTCGTACGTGAAATGCTGTTCCAGTTGATCGCGTTTGGCGTCTATCGCTTTGGCTTTTTCTCGGAAATCATGCTTCCAAACCATCCGTAAAGAATCTCCTCGGAACTGAAAATTATCAAACACTCGGTGAATATACATGCCACACATGTTGATAATGACGCTCAGTACATGAAAAGATATTCATTCAACGACGCATTTCTTAATAATTGACTGGTCAGACTTTTTATACACTCTCCCTCAAACTTGAGTGAGATGCTACACATCTCTACATTAAAATGCCAGAGGCAGCGATGTTAAATATCACACATAACTAGAGTGAAAGTATTCCCTAGTCCTGATTTTCTACAGCTATTAATTATATCAATTACTCCGTTACCTATTGTTGATCACTGAATAACATATTAATGCATCATCTTCGCATTAGATATTCTAGTCAGAACAGTGGATTTGCATGCTTAACATTCAACAATTTCATACCTGTATGAGATGACGACTTGATGCAAATATTCTTTTCAACTTTTTCAGATCTGTACAGTACGTTCATACTCTCGATAGAAGAATTTATTATATATGAGAACACACTTATTTAACTTAATAGATATGTACTCGCATATACTTCCTAAAACTTGTAATTTCAGGCCTATACTCACGTAGACATCGTGTACACATTTCTAAATAGAAACTTGATTGGGTTTGCTTAATCTAGGGACACTTAGTATATTTGACAACTTACCTTTTCCAAGAAATAATCCTCCAGTTCTTGCTTTTCGTGTTCCTTCAATCTTTCCAGGAACTTCATCTTTTTATATAACTCCTTTGCGTCATATTTCTCACTAACAATATCTGTTATAAAGAAAATAATATCTCATTTTGAATATTTTCTTCAATTCAAGCTTAATAAACAATTACACATACATTTTATTTACTGTCGAGATACCTAAATAATACTTTGACCTTATATATTCATTTTTGTGTGTTTCAATTTCAAGTCAAGTCGAACTTAATGAATTTTGCTTATTTGCCAATTTAATAAGATCATTTTGAATTACATAAAAATTATAAAATAATGTAGAAATAAATGTAAAATAATGAATTTTCTAGTCCAAACGGATCCCTTGTTATAGTTGACATTAGTAATATATTTTAGAAAATAGCTTTTGTTCGAAATGGTTGTTGGCAAAAATATGTTTGTCTAAATGAAAAGATGGGAGAAACTATGAATTGATGGCTACAACTTATTTTGTAAACGTATCTATCCATATATGTAAGGAAACTGCAATTTTGTGTTAAGTATATAAAGCTAACGTTTTATCTAATGTGACAGTATAAGCCATTTAGAATATATACATATATATGCGATATTGTTTACCTTCTTCGCGAAGGAAGTCGGACAGGAAATAATGACCCGTAAGTTGTAAAACATCACAAAAATGTTCGTACGCATGCGCACCCCGCACAGGAAGTACTTCCAATAACTTTGATATTTTAGCATCTCTGTCTTTTTGGGCCTGTAAAACAAACACAACGGAAAAATATATTATTTACTTAAAACTTAGATTTTATAACCGATTAAAACATGAAATGATAAATAAAGTTAAAACAAGTATTTTAACATTTTCTCTGTAATGCACAGTGATTTTGATCTCACCTGTCTGTTTCATATTTAGATAGAGTGTACGTTCAAAGGTTGCACATTACATAAAACCTAAAACATATTTGCTATAAAATATTGTTGACAAGACATTCAAAGAAGTATGCTTTGTAGAGATATTGAAAGAAACGTGACGACATGAAAAACATTTCGAGTATGTTGTTCACTGTTATTATTCTAAAAAGTGACCCTGGTGATAACCTCAGCAATCAAACAAACAAATTTCGGAGTTTAATGTTGCAATACATCTAGATTAATGAAAGTAAACCATCGATACTTAGATTTGAATCAACATAACTAAGAGTTATTTCAATTATTTATCGTGTCTCAAGATATCTTAAGTCATGATAGATATATCTACACAGAGTGGCTCACAAAATTATCACATGACCTAACAGAAGGGATATACAGTGCTCTCCCAGCATCACGAACAGCCGAACAAAGAGAAATCCCAAAGTACTTAATCAGCAAATAAGTCAAAGAATATATATATAATTGAACAAAATTCCCGCAAGCACTTGAAAGAGGTGACCTCGGTTATAAGCGTATAATATTAAACAATTTCAGATTATTTTTAATAAAATTAACATGTATATGGTTTTCAAGAGTGTTTTGTTGTTTAATCCTACTTTACCTTATATAGACCTATAAACCTACCTAATCTTTAGCGTTACAGTGTAAATACTAGTGTCAGAATTAAAAAATCATACATGTTTGTTTAAAGTCCTGTCACACTAAGCGGATAAAGTGTTGCATTAAGACAGGGAACAATTGTGGTGAAAATTGTGTCGTCTCGATTCCATATTTTCATACCTGTATTCTGTCAAGGTAGTTACATTCTTAACCACCAACTATATATAAGATATGTGACATTCTTGACTAACAACAACACAGTCATGTTCATCCTTAACCACCAACTGTAGATAAGATATGTGACATTCTTGGCTGACAATATCACAGTCATGTTGACCCTTAGCCACCTACTCATCACAGTCATGTTCATCCTTAACCACCAACTGTAGATAAGATATGTGACATTCTTGGCTGACAACATCACAGTCATGTTCATCCTTAACCACCAACTGTAGATAAGATATGTGACATTCTAGACTGACAACATCACAGTCATGTTCATCCTTAGCCACCAACTGTAGATAAGATATGTGACATTCTAGACTGACAACATCACAGTCATGTTCATCCTTAACCACCAACTGTAGATAAGATATGTGACATTCTTGGCTGACAATAACACAGTCATGTTCATCCTTAACCACCAACTGTAGATAAGATATGTAACATTCTAGACTGACAACATCAGTTATGTTCATAAATCTGAACGTGCGAACTTCATCCTCGGCTCATTTCAAATCTCGCGTCAAAGTCTATCTGTATGATATACATACACCTCATTATGTCTGCTATGAAGTAATGAAGACTCACATTAGATTAGATATTGTAATACAACAGTCTACAGTTTTTCTTGTAGATTACTGAAACTAATAAGCATAATTCATGATAGATTTTATAGGCAATCATAATTCATTCTAAAAACAAATATATATATATATATATATATATAATTCATATATATATATATATATATATATATATATATATATATATATTTTAGATTTGATCAAAGAAAGAATATTTGTAATATGTCGATGGTCATTAATTAGGTCCATTTATTAGCAAATAGATAAACTTACAGCTTTTCAATGGTGCTCTTCGACAATTTAGTTTACTGATCAACATGTATGAAAAAAATCGAATTTTTGTTTTCCAGTCATATTTGCAATATGAATAAATATTGGGCTAAATAAGTACAGTTATCTATTTCGCGACAGCTCAATTGGTAGTAGACCATAGGACTTGAATCTCAGGTCAAGTGATCGCAATATGCTGACGTGGTTGTATTCCTGGAAAGACGTTTTACCTTGGATACCAAGATATGTGACGGGCCTCCCGAATGTTGTTCAGTGTGTTGGCGGCAAGCTACAGATAACTAATTAAAATGACCTTGTCTGTTCAAGGGGCGACAAGGCAAGCAAACAATTATTTCTGTATGGTATAGGTATATAATTATTATCCTGTTTGATTATTATTGCTTTCGAGTTTTAATATGGGCTATTTTCTATTCCAACAGAAATAAATATGAAAATGGACTGAAGTATGTTGTTAGACTTCAAAAGACTAGCGCCGTCCAGCACTAAATCTTACACAACTATTCATGATCCCTACCTTAATCCCTACCCATTACATAGACGTAACGTATTTGTTGTTGATCATCATGTCAGGATCAATTTTGTTCCTCCACATAACAAACAACATGTTTATCAAAAATTTTTGATCATGTTGTACGAAACCAAAATATATGTTGGGATTTAAAAAAACGAATAACACATTGATTATATTAATATCATAGCAATAGCTGTCGATGTGTCAGAGCACTAATCAGCTTATCTAGTTACTAACACGATGTCAATGCCCTGATATTGTGAACTAAGAATATGGATTATCCATCATAACTAGAAACACGTAATGGCCACACGATGTTACGATGTATATTTTTTCATTGTCTATTCCTCTAGGCCGCATATGTTTGTCAGTGTCAGTTTGTCATATTCCATAGCCTTGTTCACATAGGTATGGTGTGGGACATAACCCATAGCCTTACTCACATAGTGTGGGACATAATCCATAGCTTTACTCACATAGTGTGGGACATAACCCATAGCCTCACTCACATAGTGTGGGATATAACCCATAGCCATACTCATATAGTATGGCACATAACCCATAGCCTGACTCACATAGTGTGTGACATAACCCATAGTCTTACTCACATAGTGTGTGACATAACCCAATGCCTTACTCACATAGTGTGGGACATAACCCATAGCTTTACTCACATAGTGTGGGACATAACCCATAGCCTTACTTACATAGTGTGTGACATAACCCATAGCCTACCTCACATAGTGTGGTACATAACCCATAGCCTGACTCACATAGTGTGTGACATAACCCATAGTCTTACTCACATAGTGTGTGATATAACCCATAGCCTTACTCACATAGTGTGGAACATAACCCATAGTCTTACTCACATAATCATGAGTATGAGTTCTTAAGAGGTACAGAACAGTCAGAGATTTTGCAACTTTGGCGAAACATCTCTTTAAAAGAACATTAACGAGCACGATTAAAATACTCTTCTTGTCATAAGTTATGATATGCCCTATTAAGACTAAACTTTAACACGACCTTGAAACAAGAACCGTTCAATCATCACATTAGTTGTAATTGTTCTATAGATAAGCTTTTATGAAGTCTATAGATATCATTGACTTGGTCACGATACATTCAGCCACAGGTGACTCTCTTCTCCATTATAACGACCGCGGAAATCGAGTAATGGGGCGTTGACCACTGGTCATTGATTCATATTCATCTGATATTTGTTTATCTCGAATAACCATTAGTTCTCCTAGAAGAGAAAGTAAAAACTACTAGAAGTAGTTCTATTGTTTAAAAAATTACATCTGAAATTATCGCGAGATTTATAATAGAGACCATTCTTGGTTGACGAATTTACAAGGAATTGTGTTAAGTTTTACTATAAAATCAATGAATATCCATTAGGATATATTTACTTAATGGGAAAGAGTAGACAATAACTGTATAATACAATAAAAAGGAAATTGACCTGATTATTCTGAACTTTGCGGTCAATCTAGTATCAAAAGGACAATTAGCAAAAATATTGACAACCCAGTTTTGTTTTGTTTTGGGTTTTTTTTATCAAAAAACCAAACACATATCGTGATTAATGGTTTACGGATCTGGAAATGAACAGCATATGCATAATCAATGACTGCTTTGTTAGTGGAACATTACAGTAAATATAACAGACACAAATCATTGAATAAATTCCCTACCGACCAGTGTAGACTGAAACAAAATCAGCATTGCATATTATTATTTTTCCCCTATGACATTACTGTAAAATCGTATTTTTTCGCGGGTTTAAGTTTTCGTGGTTTTAATTAGAATCTATTTCATGGACACTTGACTTTGTTGATAAATTTTGCTCAATAAATCTACTTATACTTATTTTAACAGTTCCAACACATATCAATTCGTGAATTACGAGTGCCCCAAGAAATCGACGAAAATAAATCTCACACGAAAAGTGAAGATTTTGCAGCACATGTAAATGGATTTTTTAAGTAAAGATCCTGTATATCATTGTTGTGCTGTTTCCTACCTCTGGTGTTGAAACAGTTGCCATTGACAACACAACATGTATAGATGATGTCCAGCAGTCATACATTACAAACATATATTAAACGTTTAACAATGTTTTAACTAATGGAGGAATTCTTGATAAATAATTTGTGTTTCTTAACTTCGGGTGAAAATTAAATCGATAATTCAAATTCATGAGTGCGCAAGATTGGCAATTTACAATCGCATTACACACCTACTTAAACATGGCTCACTTTGATCAATACCCCTTCCTGTTTATATCTACTAAATTATTTAGATTTATGAGTTTGTATTATCACAAACCATCGTTACATTTAACAGATCTCTCTGCGTACGACCTGCCTCTCCGACGTCGACGACTTGATAAAAACAATCCTTCAGAAATTCTTTGTGTCATGATTTGTCAACTTGATAATCCTATACCATTATTTTGTTGTTAAATAAGTGTGATTTACTGCTACTGATAAAGTGTCAGTTCAGAAATACAAAGTACTAAAATCCAATAAGTTTTATACTGGATCGAAAGATGGAGGCTTAGTGTCTTTGTGCTGTCTGTCTGTTTGTCCGTCTGTATGTTTGTCT